AACCAAAAAAAACGAGTTAAGGGGAAAAGCCAAGAAATTTCCATGAGCAGCCTCCGTCTCCCTCCCTCACAAAGCCGCTCTTTGTCTTCAGGTTAAACAGAAACCTGCAGAAAATTGTGGAGGGGATTTTTTTCCTCCCTCCCTGTCCTCTATTGTCCTCCCCGCTGCTGCCACTGCTCTGCCTCTGCTGTGTGTGGGGAATGTGGGGGCATGGAGCAGCCGAGGGGCTGCAGCTCTGAGCCCCATCTCCTGGTGCGGATCTCCATCCTGGTGCTGCCAGGCTTGGCTGTGTGCTGCGGGGCACCACGCTGCTCCCTTCCCCTCCCAGCCCGTCTGCAGGCATTGTTCACCACCTCCCGCCTTTCCACTCAGATGCTGTCACTCCAGCCCTTAATTGAGGAGGAAAAAAAAAAGAAATGTGAGGCTTTGGGAAAGGCAGCAAGGCTGTGCTGCAACTGTGTGGCAGCTCTGCAGGGCTGCCTGCACAGCCCCCCCACGTGCAAACTCATTTTGCATCCCACGATGGGAGAGGAGCAGATCCCCGGGATGCCCTCCTGCTCCTGCAGGGCAAACCCATTGCTTATTGCAGAGAGCCACAGATGTGCATGGGTTGCAGCACTCCTGGTGCCCCTTGCAGTGTGCAGGGCCTGCTGTCCCGTGCTGCTGCTCTGCACTGAGCTCTGAGCACGGCTGGGTGTCCCGGGGGATGGGCGGGTGGTTATCCTGACAGCTTTGCAAACTACAGACATGCTGGGTAATTAAATGCTGCTTCATTTCACGTGCTGCTCCGAGGAGCAGAGCCTGGGGCAGTGCATCAATTCCCTGCTCCTGCTGGAGAGATCTGCCCGGGATTGCAGGATGGGCAAAGCCCATTAGAAAGCATTGCATTCTGTGCTTGGCATCATCCTTCGTTGGGGTGCAAGGCAGTGGGGAAGCAGTGCAGCTGCAGCGTGGTTGCAGTGGGGTTGCAGTGGGTGCAGTGAGGGTGGAGTGAGTGCACAGTAGAAATGCAACAGGGTTGCAGTGGGATAGCAGGGTTGCAGTGGATTGCAGTTGGGTGCAGTGGGTTGCAATGGGATGCAGCAGGGTTGCAGTGGGATGCAGTGGGATGCAGTGGGATAACAGGGTTGCTGTGGATTGCAGTGGGATGCAACAGGGTGGCAGTGGGGTGCATTGAGTTGCAGTGGGGTGCATTGGGTTGCAGTGAGATGCAACAGGGTTGCATTGGGTTGCAGTGGGTTGCAGCAGGGCTGCAGTGGGGTGCAACAGGGTTGCAGTGGGATGCAGCAGGGTTGCAGAAGGGGCACTTGGTCACCTCCCCAGCACTCCCATGGGCGGCTGCAGGGGGGGGGACAGCGGGGAGAGGCACTTTTTAAATAAGAAAGAAACCAATCCCCACGTCCCGGTAAGCGCTTCCTGTTGGGATTAGCAGAGCTGTGGGGCATGTGTGTGCTTTTTCTTCAGGAAATACCTTCAGTGAGCCCTGGTGGGGTTTCCAGGGCAACCGGCAGCAGGACCTGCTGCTCGCGGCCATTCAGCCCGGGTTGTTGCTGTGCTGCTTTGTTGGCCGCTTTATTGCGCTCGGGCACACACAGCTCCGCGCCGTTTTGTCAGCCCTGAATGCAGAACTGCTCCATTCTGATGGGCAGCTTTGGCGTGGGGCCATTTGCATGCAAAGTCCTTTTCGGGGGAGAGGTGAGAGCTCTCCAGCAAGGAGAACGCGGCTGAATGCGGAGGGGGAAAGGTGAAACCGTGCTGCTGATATCCCCATCCCTTGTGGGCCAGGCCTGGGCTCCAGCAGCAGGTACAGGAGGCAGTGGCACCCTCCATCTGCCTGGTTGCAAAGCTGGAACTGAGCAATAAAAGCGCTGGTGGGTTTGCCTTAAAGCTCACAGCAAAAGGAAACAGTGTTGAGCTGAACGTCTCCATCCCAACTCGGTGCTCCCAGATCCAAAGTCCCTGCAGCGCTGCCTGCAGGCTGTGCACTGCTGGGTGCTTGGGGGTGCAGCACTCAGCATCTGGGGCTGCAGAAGGGCTGCATTTGTTCTCCTGAGCCCGATGTGTTCTGAGGAGCCCAACTGTGGGGCGTTTTGCTCCCAACTGAACACCCGCACCGTGCGTCTCCCAGACTTCAGCAAGCTCAGCACCAACCCCCTGTGCACAGCAGTGGGCACAGAGCCTCCGGGCATCCCTGTGCCCTCTGTGTTTGGGGCTGGAGCTGCAGACATTTGGATCCCTGCAGTTCTCCCCCCTCCTGCCCTGGTGCAGAGGAGGAGAGCCAAGCGTTTCTCCGGCCCATTGAGCTCCTGCTCGCTCCAGGCGTGTGAGCACCATGCTCAGAACTGCTGTGAGGGGCTGCACCTGCCGGCTTGGGTTAGGTTACAGAAGAGCAAAATAAATAGAAGAGGCACTCCGGGCTGATGGAGCACAACGATCCGAGGGGGCACTGAGAGTAGGATGAGCTGCTCCCGCTCTGTGTGCGCTGTGGTTTTGCAAAGGCTGCGTTTCCCAGGGCTGCTGCATGGCAGTGCCAGCCGAGCCGTCCCGTGGGCTGCTGCTGTCCGGCTGCCAGAGCCGCTGGGAGCCTCATTGTCCCTGCTCTCACCCGTAGGGGGGTGTGGGGGGGTAACCTGGACATGCTCATTAGGCTGTGAATTCGTTTTCGGGCCGTTCCCACCATGCCGCGTTTTCCGCCTTATCCTCGAGTGCCAGAGATGCGCTTTGGGTTACCAAAGGGCAGCATCCCACCCTGCCCTCTGCCTCCCCGTGCTGTGCTGTCCATCACGCTGCTCGTGTTAAGAGCTGGGTCGAGATGGGGGGAGGAGGGGGAAGAGGGAGGACGCGGCCTTTGAATGGCACAGAGAGCGTCGCCGTGAGCTGGGATGCAGCCCAAAGCTGTGCACCCTCCAAAGAGCTTTTCTCATGGGCACGAGCAGTGCTGAGCCCCAGCTGAGAGTGGAGGGCACCGCAACCCTCTGGTTTTGGGTTCTCTCCGTGGTCTTCACGCAGGGGCAGGAGGATGCTGTGGGGCTGTGCCTTGGTGGGACGTGGCTGTGGCATTGTATGCGCCTGTGACGAATCTTTTGAAACACAAATGAGAGCTGCACGGAGCGCCGAAGCTGGAGGAAAACGTGGGGAAATTGGGATTGCGAAAAGCAGAGCTCTTCCCCAAAACCTGCAGGGCTCTGTAAGCTGGCAGTGGGACCTGCAGCCCTGCTTCTGGCCCTCCTGCCATCGAGGAGAGCGCTGAGCTCGTCCCCACACACGCTGTGCTCATGGAGGAGTTCAGAGAAACTCCTGAGCTGTTGGTGGATGGTGTTGCTCTGAAGATGCTCAGGTGTGTGAGGGCTGCAGGAGGAGTGAGGAGTGGAGGGCTGAGGCTCTGGAGCTGCACATCAGCTCCCCATTGCTCCGCTCTGAGCACAGCTGATGGGGTGTGCGTGTGGTTGGGGCCAGAATGCCTTCATCAGGTGCTTTGAAGTCCCTGGGAAGCACCGGATTGCAGCTGGAAAAGCCCTGCAGGTGGGCTGCCCCTGAGGATTTGCTTTGGGGTCTCCACGTGGGAGGTCACCATGCTGAGATGGAGTGAGAAGAGGAGGCTCTGAGCCAACGCCAGGCTGCCCAGCGAGGAACAGGAGGAGTCGTGGGAACACTCCTTATGGAGACAGCAGCAGAGGTGTGAGAGCAGAGCTGGCACAGGAAGGAGAGCAGGCATTGCACCATTGCTGAGTGTGAGCACTGGGAGAGATTGCTGGGAACCTGGATGTTTGCACCCAGTGCAGGATCCTCGTGCAACACCACAGAATGAGGGGAAAACAACGGTTTGTGCAACACCGGTGACCAAGAGACAACAGCACTGGGATGGATTGGATCATTGTGCTGCTGGAAGGACGTCGCAGGACAACTGAGGGCAGGGAGCATCTGACAGCCCCTGCCTGCCTACCTGAGCTTCCAGCACTGTCTCTGAGCCCTGCTCTCTGCCTGCTGTCCCAGCATAGCCCTGTAACTGCCTGGTGCTGACCAGAGCGAGGAGTTCAGGCCTGCTTTGCTGGCTGTCTGCTGCTGGGCAGGGAGACCCTGGGGTGGAGCCGTGCGGGGTTTGGTGCTCCTCATCCTTCCCTGCTGCCAGCTCTGCCCAACGTGCCTCAGGTTGCAAATTCCTCCCCATCTCAAACCCCTTCTGCAGCGCTTGGCAGGAGACTGAGGGCGCTTGCGTAGCTTTGGGATCCATGGCTGTGCCCTGGGGCGATGCCTCGCTGCTGCTTGGGTTGCTTTCAGCGTGGCTGTGCTCGGGGTCGACCCCCATACCTCAGCCACGTCCCCGCAGCGCATGTCGCCTCATTAACCCGACCCTCAGCAGCCCGGTGTCCCGTTGTCTCTATTTCTTTTCTTTTTTTCCCTTTCTCTCCCTCTCTCCCCAACTCCTCCAGCTCTGCCCAAAGCGAACATCGAGGTGGAATCCCACTCTGCACACCCCGGCGATCTCCTCCAGCTGCGCTGCCGGCTGCGCGACGACGTGCAGAGCATCAACTGGGTGCGTGATGGAGTGCAGCTGCCTGAGAACAACCGCACACGCATCACCGGCGAGGAGGTAGAGGTGCGGGATGCGGTGCCCGAGGATTCGGGGCTCTATGCCTGCATGACCAACAGCCCCTCGGGGAGTGAGACCACCTACTTCTCCGTCAACGTCTCAGGTTCGTAGCGGTGCAGGGGCAGCAGCGAGGAGCAGCGTGCCTGTGTGCACGCCTTGCATGCTGGCTGCCAGGCACAGGTTGGTTCGGTGGGGTGCAGTCTTGCACAGCCCACGCTGGCACGCACGGGATGTGCCATCGAATCTGTGCAGTATGGTGGTTGTGCCCTGTGGCACAGCGTGGGGGCACATCGGCACAGAGCGCTGCAGCAGGGCCAGCACTGCTGGATTTTCTCCTCAGAGCTGCAAAGATGGTTGTCTAGCACCCTGTGTGTCCACTTCAGCACAGGGCACTGCAGCAGGGCCAGCACTGCTGGGTTTTCTGCTCAGAGATGCAAAGATGGTGCCCAGCATCCTGAGTGTCCACATCAGCACAGAGCACTGCAGCAAGGCCAGCACTGCTGGGTTTTCTGCACAGGTGGTGCCCAGCACTGTCTGCACCTCGTGTGTCCACATCAGCACAGAGCACTGCAGCAAGGCCAGCACTGCTGGGTTTTCTGTTCAGAGATGCACAGATGGTGCCCAGCACCCTGTGTCTCCACATCAGCACAGAGCACTGCAACAGGGCCAGCACTGCTGGATTTTCTGCTCAGAGATGCACAGGTGGTGCCCAGCATCCTCTGCACCTTTTGTTTCCATGAGTGTTCTTCCACGGTGGCAGTGCATGCGTGGGGACATGTGAGTCTGCATGGAACTGAGCACCGGGGTAAACTGGAGCTGAGGTTTTCTTTGTTGGTTCCGAAGCACAGTGGTGAGGACTGAGTGCTGATGGTTGGGAGGTGCTGGCTGAAGGTCAGGGCTGTTTCTGTCTGCAGGACCTGGATGGATGGATGGATGTCCCCGGGTGCCTGGCAGCACAATGTGGGCACTGCCTTCCTGAGTCTAAAGTCAGCCTTGTGGGCAAACTGCTCCCTGGGCTCTGAGCTGGGACAGCATCTCTCGCTCCAGCCATGCAGCGTTCTCTCAGAGCCTCATGCCATGTGTCAGCACGGTGCACAGGAGGGGTCTGTGCATAGTGCTTAGCTGGGGGTCTCTTCTCTTGCAGACGCACTCCCTTCTGCAGAGGATGATGATGATGAAGATGATTCCTCCTCGGAGGAGAAGGAGGCGGATAACACCAAGCCAAACCGTACGTGTGGGATGGGTTTGCATGGGTTTGTGGGATGGATGGGGGTGAAGGGAAGCCAGGCATGCATGTGAACAGCATCCAGGGGCTGAGAGGCAGGAGAGGAGGGGCAGAGTCCTGCTGCAGTCCTCCTAGAGCCTGGCTGGGGCGTGGGGATGTGCCAGGGAGATGTGTACCTCGCCCCAGTCTTGCCCTGGGTTAACCATGAGCAAACATCAGTGCTCCCCATGGCTGATCCTGCTGCTCTGTGCCCCGCAGAGGCTGTAGCTCCTTACTGGACCTATCCTGAGAAGATGGAGAAGAAGCTACACGCCGTCCCTGCTGCCAAAACAGTGAAATTCAAGTGCCCCTCAGGTGGGACGCCCAACCCCACGCTGCGCTGGCTGAAGAATGGCAAGGAGTTCAAGCCTGACCACCGCATCGGGGGGTACAAGGTACAGAGTGGGTCCTGTCCAGGCAGTCTGGGCCTGGGAGTCACTCAGGGAGAAGGGGAAATGAATTGGCTTCAGAGGCCCTGAGCTGCCCGTTGGTGCAGCCGTGTGCCTCTGGAAGGGCAGATGGGCCCCCTGACATTCCTGTTGCAAAATAGACCCACGGCAGTGACCTGCTTCTTGGTCATGTTTGCAACAGCCTCAACCTTTGGGGGAGGGGGGAGGATGAGCCCAGCCTGGCTGCACTAATCCCAGAGCTGAGCCAGGAGGGTTGGGGCAACTGCAGCTCCCAGGAACGCCACACATCTCCTACATCCAGCACTGCACTGGGGGAGAAGGAGGATGAAGGAGTGCTGCTCTTCTTGCAGAGCTTTGGCGCAGCCTGGAGCATTTGGGGTGCAGGGCTCAATGTGCCCCCCTGGGCAGCAGGGTGCTGGTTCTCCCCATCTGTGTGTAAAGCCCTGGTAGAAAATGGAGTGGAAACGCAGGGCTGTGGGAATTGCCAGCATGCCATCAGCACGTGGATGTGGGTGCTGTTCCCTTTGTGCCACCCAGGGCTGTGTCCCTGCACCCTGCCCATGGTGCTCAGCAATCGGCTCTGTGCTGGGACAGCTGGGAGCAATTATGGTCCCTCTGTAGGAGAGGGGAAAGGTGACCACGAGCAGATTTATGCTGTGCCAAAGGGCTGAGCCGCTCTGATGTGCACACATCTCACCCACCACCCCCCATCTTCCTGCCCCCAGGTCCGCTATGCCACCTGGAGCATCATCATGGACTCGGTGGTGCCATCAGATAAAGGAAACTACACGTGCATCGTGGAGAACAAATACGGGAGCATCAACCACACCTATCAGCTGGATGTTGTGGGTGAGGATGGCTCTGGGGCTGCTCTGCTTCCTGCACAGCAGTGCTGATCCCCGCGAGCTTCACCTCGAACCCTTCTGGGGCTTTTTAATTGTGGTGGAAATAATTTCAGAGACCAGACAGAAACTTTTTCTAATCGCCTTATTAGCCATAATTCCCAGCTGGGAAGGCTGGTCTGAGCAGTTCCACATGTGGAGCTGCTCTAAATGCCAGTAAATGAACCATTAAGAATGTGATTTAATTTGATTACACTGAGCAAACTGAAGGGAACAGTCAGCGAGGTGAACAAAGGGGTTTGTTAATGCTGACTCACCACAGTGGCAGCGGCTGGGGCCCTCGTTAGGTTTGTTTGACCTCTGACCCCTGAAGAGATAACGATGTCCCTGTGCTGGGATGTCACCTGTCCCCTGCTTTGGTGGGATGTCACCTGTCACCCGCTCTGTGGGGCTGTGGGATGAGACTCCTGTGGATGTGGGGTGCCCATGCTGAGGTCTCCATCCCCACAGAGCGCTCCCCGCATCGGCCCATCCTGCAGGCAGGGCTCCCTGCCAACAAAACGGTGGCCCTGGGCAGCAACGTGGAGTTCGTCTGCAAGGTCTACAGCGACCCACAGCCCCACATCCAGTGGCTGAAACACATCGAGGTGAACGGCAGCAAGATCGGCCCCGACAACTTGCCCTACGTGCAGATCCTGAAGGTAACGCTGCACACACAATGGGCTGCCCCAGCCCGGGTCCCTATGGGGTCACTGCCCTCACTGGGCACAGCTGGGGACACATAGGTGGCATCGAGGCATCTGGAGCCCCACCAGCCCTGCCTGCTCCGCTCTGGGCTGCCCTGGAGGAGCTGGGTGAGAGGTGGGCAGTGGGCAGCAGGCAGCGGTGCGCTCATCCTTTGGATCCCTGAAGGTGTCTGCCATGAACTGGGTGGGTGCTGGGGGCAAGCGTAGGATGGGTGGCACAATCCAGCCACGAGCAGTGCCCTCAGCCCCTCTGCAAAGCCTGGGGTGTGTGCACGTCCCCATCCATGCCAAGGTTTCAGGACACGTGGCCATCCTCAGCTGTATCACCAGGCTCAGGGCACACGGTCACCTCCAGCC